AACATCAACAGTGTAGCTAGAGCATGTGGGCTATGTTAAATATACCCATCAACTTCAACCATAAATAAACAGCAACCGGAATTATGAATAGGAAGTGAGCTTTCGGTCGAAATCTGACAAAACTAAAAAAAAAAAAAAAAAAAAATAACGAAGGAGCAAGAAGTACAATAAACCAAATCCTGCATTACAGAGTCATGGGCATTGTCTCAACTCAACCATAAGAGCAGGGTAATAACTGTAACCAGTATGACGATCAAAATCATTACCCACTCAAACGTAAATGCAAGGAAGAGACATCCTGCATTCACCCAACCATAAAAACAGAGTATGTACGTCCTGTTGCCAGTATTACGAGGCAGACAAAATCTCCCAAACTGAACTGTAGGAGCAGGGAAAAAACCTCCTCCAGCCAGAATTAATGAGAAGAGAGGCGTCTACTGCACACAACCGTAGGAACAGGGCATTGTCATCCTGAACCCGGCATCATGAGGATAATCCACATAGGCCGGACCCACTCCAACCAACATGTGCCCACCTGGGAAAAAGCATCCAGGGGAAATGGAAGGAGGGAAACCAGCACTGCCCTCTTCTCATTGAGTGTATAATCACGAGTAGGTATGGCAAAGTAAATTCCAAACTCATTCAGGAGTAAGCTTCCATGGTCCAGCAACTGGTAAGGACTCCTGTGCTCTCCTAGAAGAAAAGGGAGGACAAATGCAGTAGGGAGTCTGGAGGAATGTCACACTGGAGAAAGTGCAATGGGTGTCCATGATTTCCTATATTTAAAAGTAGACTGACCCCAATTTATTCAATCAAAGGGTCGGCAAGGATGAGCAGAAGGCCCCTTATGCTTTACTTATGAAGTCCATGAGTGATGGTCCACCACATATTGAAAATTATTGATATATATGCAAGTGGTCTTGCATAAACACCACATCTCTACAGGGAGCGTTACATTACAAACCTGACCAGGCAACAACCACCACAGAGTGGAATCCCTACAGCAGTGATTAAAACTAAGGTTGATGAAAAGAAAACAGAAATGAAAGTAAGTGATAAAACTTACCCCTGTGAATGGTAAATGGACATGTGTAGAATCACCATGAGAGGGAAACGATATCCACCAGACAAAAATACAGCCAGATCTTGCTGATAATGAACGACAAAGGTATTGGGAGTAGTCCACATTCCAGCCTGAATGATCTATTCCAGTGGACTTTGAAGGTAAGAAGCCAAAGATATGATGAATATAATAATGGTTGGAGACAGCTTGAATGGGTAATGAAGAAAAACTTTAATACAAGTTTAACACAACAGTAAATGTACAACATTTCGACCATTTTTCCAGGTTTCATCTTCCCTTGTCATTTCTCTCCTATTTATGCTCCTTCTAAGTCCCATGCTCTCCATGTTCCTATGATTTGCCTGATTGGAATCTCTGTGTGGTCCTTTATGCCTTTCCCATCCTACCTTTGAACCTTTGTCTTCATGTTCCATCTACCATCTCTCCCTCAAGATCTTTTTCCTTCTTCTCCTTGCAAGATGTTCTATTTCTTTGGGGATGTGGGCTTTCTTGGAAGCTGTCATTTACATGAATTGGGCTCATATGTGTTCCCTTTGGAACTTCTCCTTGTATCCCTGGCTTGTTGGCTAGACAGAGAACACACCATGGCAGGGGTGCTGTTTACTCCACCTCACGGACTCATCTTTAGAGTGTTGGGGTTCTTACCTCAATTCCTCAGAGATCTCTGGTCGATCATGGAGCCTTCTATCCATATCACATTTTTCAAGCCTTTGGCAGTTTATTGAGCTTTGTCTCACTTCTTTCCTCTCTTATGGTTATGGTACATTCCGCGATCTCCACAGTGGTCACTTATATCACAAAGCCACCAGGTACCAATTCCAGATGTCTCTGCTTTCAGATTCTGGATCTCCTTTCTGTGTCCACAGTCACCACATTGTGGTCTTAGCTTGCCATTTTCCTGGTTCCCTGAATCTGGTGGTGGATTGATTATCTTCTACCAACAAGATTCTCCTCACTGAGTAGTCTCTTGATCCACAGGTCTTTAGATGGGTATGTTCTCAGCTAGAGACACTTCATATATGCCTTTGTCACCCACTGAGACATTATACTTCCTTGACTCTGGTCTCCTGTTTCTCCCTTGCTAACTCTGGGGGTGTTCACATTCTGTTAAGATTGGAGAGGTTATCACATCTATGCTCACCCTCCTATTCAACTCCCTCCACAGTTCTATCCTTATTCCAAACTAGTCCATGTCTCCTCCTACTGGTGGCTCCATCTTGGCCTGTGCAATCATCTTTCCCACTGCTCCGACCTCTACTTGTACAACCTCCCCTAACCTCTGTCTTGGTTCCTATTCTGTTGATCTCAGTTGGACATTGTTCAACCAGATGTCACCACATTCTGTTTTCATTCATGGCTTTTGTCAGGTCCATTGTCTCATTATTGCATCTTTCCCTTCCCGATACATTTAACTTTCTTCCATGTCCATTTACCACAGGTGATGGTTTACTTTCCACCATTGGTCTCTTTGATGTGTTTTCTGTCCTTCCCACCCTTCTATTCCTCATCTTTCCCTATTCTTTACCTGGTTGTTTGACAAAGGCTTGCCCACTTTGACTGTGTCTAACTATTGGGTGGCCTTGTTGAACACCTTAACTGTAAGAAAAGTGAGGTAGGGACGTATGGATTGCTTTCTCCAAACTCGAAGACAAAGAGGAGAAAGCTGGGCCCAACTGAGGTTGCAAAGAAGAAACCATCAAATGAATGGGGTATTAAGTGAGGGTAAGAACACACTTCTCCACTGTCATCAGGAATCCCACCCATGCTGCTTCCTGTAGAAGCAGAGGAGTGTGGTCTTTGGACTGTGAATAGGAGAAAGCAAGTAGGAGCCAATCATGCATAGAAAGAAGAGTGCAAAGACTCATAGAATGAAGATGTTGGGCAAGAGTTTGTATCCCCCGATAAAACACTAAAAGAGCCGAGGTTAGTCTGAACTGTAGGGCCCTGAACTGGAAAACTAGACGTAGATCAATAAATAACTGTCGATGAAATGGGCACTGTGAGGAAGAACTCTGAATTGTACTAAAAGGATAAAATGGGGTTTCTAGTATCACAAATGTAAGGAAAAGAGCCAAAGCCAAGCTCAGCCCTATGAACGGGAAAAACATTATCATGTCTGTGATGTAACAAAGCCAAAAATTTAAGTCCAACACTGATGAAAATTAGAATAATAAGGCACATAGTTAACCATTATGAAATAAAATAATCAGATAGAAATATGAATTATATATTAGTAGCAGTAACATACCTAGTTAACAAAGTACTTATAAATATCAAATGGACAAACCATCTAAATTTACGTAATCCTTTTCTACATTAAATGTAACATATATATCTTTTCATGTCTAGTGGGTTTACTACTATGATAGCCATGATTCCGTCCTCTCTTCATCTTCTCGCAAGACCAACCCTTCAAGGATTCAAGATTGCTTTGGTAAGTGTTATAAAGAGATGTTTTCACACTTAGTAAAACATGCTTTAAAAGAAAAAATATATGTACAGAAAAAAAAATATTAACATACAAAAACACTTTTTATTACTTCAGTTGAGTTTAAGAAAAAGATTTTAGATGTTGATCATATGACATTAATTTATTAAGAAAACAGTTTTTGATAATTATTTGGCTTATGTTAAACAATAATATGTAACTATGTAATGAATCGTGTTCTCTTTCATCATATTTGTTCATCCTATTAGATTTTGTACTGACACACACACACACACACACAGACATCATTATATGCATGTCGGTGACTGTGTATCCTTTTGTAATATTACTGATATTTATGTCATGAATAGTTTTTATGCATTGGAAAAGAAAATATGGTGAACAGGTTCACATTTCAACAGTATTAAAATTTCAGAAATTTCATGTGCTATATGTCATTCAAATGTTTACCTTTTTTCTTAGACTATATTGAGAATTACTGGGTTAGAAATAATAATTAAAATATTCAAATGTTTACACTTGTAATTTGTTTTTGTTTTTTGTAAGAATACAAAATTGTTTTGTGTCTCAAGCCTTAGATATCAAGTTTTAGTTCTGTTTAGGTAAAAAAATGTTTGTTGCCAGATGGGTTTTCTAATCTTGGTATCTTTTTCCTTTCAGATTAACTCTGCAATGATATTCTTTCTATTTTCCTTTCAAGTCCATGAGAAAAGCATTCTTTTAGCTATCCTGTAAGTACATATCTGTCTCTGAGATATATTTTCCATAATATTTTTTTCAAGACACCTTCATTATCAGAAAAGTGAGCTTTCTTAATTTGTATGTTTATGTTTTCTATGTTTGTATCATCTCTTAAACCTGTTACCTGAATGTAAGATCATATTTAATTGTATAATACTTTTTTTATGTCAATTTTTTGAGTAAAGGCCAGTGTTAACTAAATTAATCTAGACATGAAACTAATAGAAAAGAAACATATTTATATTTTTAATAGATCTGAAATAAATGTCTATACTGTTTATGAGAAGTGCATAAGCAGATTGTTTATACATAAGTAAGTGTAAACTGAAACTGTTAGATTTGGTAGTTTGGAGCTTGGTGTAATACCAGTACTTACTTCTAATTGGATAGTAAGAATTCAAAAAATTGTCAGTGATGAAAAGTACAGTAACTTGGCTAGTAGTTAAACAGTGACCATTGTAATTTCAGTTTTAAGTTTGTAACTTAAACGTGGATATTGATAACCTGTTGTTTATTAAAAAAGAAATGTTTAACAATTTTGTTTTCATACCTAATACTTATAAATGTATAAATTGTCATTTCTAGTTTTGTGTCATTGGTAAATTAATTAGTATTTTTTTCTGGATTTATAAAATGTCAAGCATCCAAAAAAGTATTTTTTATTGTTAAATGTGTTTTAATAAATATATAATGAAAGTAGCTAAAACATTTATATAAAATAGAAATTACAGAATATCTTAGAATATATTTGGTGTCTTGCAAAAGGTCAGTTTCTTTCCCAGACAGTAGCAACTTCTTGTCTTTTAAAAACATTATAGTATGTATTATATGTTATGAGATTGTTTTAACTATTATTGTTGAAAGATAGAAATTCATAACAGGTGACGTGACTTCTTTTAATGAATGTTCATGTTTTTTTTGTTTTTAATTTAGCCCAGTCAGTCTTCTAATTCATGAACATCCACTAGTCACTACCTGGTTTCTTACAGTGTCTACTTTCAGGTAGAACAGCTGCCTTTTTCATTTTACTCAAATAAATATAATATTTCTATGTAAATATTTTCTCTTAATAAATAATGGTAAGTTTAATCTTTGAGGATAAAAATATACTACAATATTATGTTTTAGAAGAGAAAAATTTGTAGAAAAGTGTGTTCACTTCGGATACAGTCTTACCTCCCTTCACACAAAGCTATCTCAATCTTCATCTGCCCTCTAAATATTGCTAAAAAAGTTTGGCTATCACCACACCAGTCTATATACCCCATCAATTTCACACCATTTCTGAACATCTACATATCATGTGACTATTTTCCATCAATACCTTTGTGCCACTGATGTTAGTGCTGCTAGCTCCTTCTGCTATTCCCGCTCAATATTCAATTTCTTGATTGGCACAGCATTGTTTAGACATGTATTTTTTTGCATGTGTCTACCATTTATGATCATGCTTCTTTGTAATCAAAATTTTTTTTCAACAGTTTTATTTTACTGTGTTTGTATTCACTTGTTTCAACAATTTTTTTTCTTGCATTTATTTCTTGTTACCGACTTACAAGAGAAATTAGTATAAATTTGCAATCAATGTATTGACTACAGAAATTCCAGTTACAGTCGAAAGTGCTATTGATATGACTTCCCAGTAATCAGGTTCTACTTTATCTGCAGGCCTTATTTTGCAGCTAGATTCATATGATCACCCAGCGATTTCTTCTTCTTTTCAAAGTGACAATGTTTCTGAGGAAGAATATAATCAATGAAAAGACGATTTGGACTCTTTTTCTGGTAACTTCTTATTTTGGTCTGTCACATTCTACTCCTCTTCAGGAGTTTTCACTTTCCACTAGTTGCCACGCTGTCACATCATTCACTTTGGTGGAGAATTGATCTTCTTCTCCTTTCTTCTTATTGCTTCCAGTTCTCCCAAGGAACCTGTGGTAAGTTTTTCAACACCTGGTTGATATCCCCATGGTAGGCACAGCTCAGATGCCCTATTTGTGGCTCTGTCCTTTTTTTACACACGGGGGAATTCAGTATTTCACGTCATCAGTGCTTGGAATTTGGTAAGTTAGATTTATGTGTCCTTTCTCATCTATGTTCCTTAAGGTGAATTGTAAGCTAGATATTGATTATTACTTTGTTTGTTTTTTTAGGTAAGCGTAATTGTTTTGCATATTCGTTAATATTACTTACATTGTAGCCTCAGCAAATTTTGTGGGTGAGTTAATTCATTATTAATAAGTACTTTAACTAAGGATGTTGAAATTGTCTGTATGTTACATATTATTACTACTAGTAACATCTAATTCGTTGTTCTATTTTTTTCATCATTGTTTGCCTTATCCTAATTTTCATCAGTGTAGGACTTAATTAAGTGTTCTTTGTTGTCTAGGTTAATTGGAGGAATTATAAATTAGATATTGATTGTTAATGTGTTTTCTCAGTAATTTTAGTCGGTTTGAATGTTCATTATTATTACATACTTTATTGATTGACATTTTGTAATGTGATTTGACAATTCAATAACGTTTTTGAGCTTTCACTGACAATACTTATTAAAGATAATTTTAAGCGTGAAAACTGTCCATATTTTGATGTCATTATATGTAAATTCAAAATTGTAATTTTACGGTGATAATCTTGTTTTCTTGTGCCCAATAATGCATAATTTCATTTGATAAACACGTTTAGATTGAATGGTAATTTATAATCAGTCACAAGAACGTCGAATCTGAATCACTTGAAAAAAACACGGGGGTGCTTAACTTTTTTCCAGGTGTATAAATAGATACACTGAACTTTAGGTACTCTAAACCAAACAATCAATACGTTTCCACGTACGCTTAAAGAAAATTTAAAGAATATATTGAATATCACTGTGTTACATAGAAATCCCAACAATCAACCAGCTCCGATATAAAAAGGAAAGAATGTTTCCATGGTGATGGCTTTTCTAAAACAGTGTTTGTTTTTATTTGTTTGTTTCTCCACTGATAGATACAAGTTAATTATATATTACAACAATAAAAAGTAATTATGATACTAATTAATTTCACTTCACTAATACGCTAAACGACAGAATAATTTCAAAACAAGGAAAATTAATTAGAACATTGTGGTCGATACAGATGATGGTCGACGACATTAACCCTTGTTATTTAATCCGAAAATAGATGTCGTATCTTCTCTGATCTTGGTTTATTCAGTGACTAGTAGAGAATATTAATTTATTCGTTACTCTTTGTTTGTTTTAACTTAAAGCTGCATCGTAGACTATCTGTGCTCTTTTCACTCGGGAGAATCGAGCCGAGAATTTTAGCGTTGTAAGTCAGTAACTTACCACTGACTCACTGGGAGACGTTACTTTTTGTTTGTTTGTTTTAGCGCAAAGCTACAAAGTAGGCTATCTGCTATCTGTTCACCACGTGGAATCGAACCCGGATTTTAGTGTTGTAAGTCTGTAAACTTACTGCTAAATGTTACTCTTTGATGAATATAGATAAATTCGATTAAATTAGTTGCAAAAAACCTTTAGAATGAAACAAAGTATATCTACCTGTACAACTTAGTCAAAATGTATTGAACCTAAAAGGAATTGAATCTATTTAGGCATAATAACACGTTGGAAGAAATGATCTATGTCAGCAAAATTTTGTGTAATTATATTCCTAATTAAATATTTCTTAACTCGATCGTACTTAAATGTATTCTTTAAAACATACCATGGTTTGTACCTTTCACATTCAAGAATGAAAGTTTATTCTCGCAAGAGTTTACCGTGTTTACTTCTTGAAAAGGTGCTATTAAAAATGTTGTCCACAAATTACGTAAATAACCTATGGGCGCCATCTGTGAATAGCATAAAGAACTAATCTGCATGTACCCTATTAAAATACTAAGCAAAGTGTGATAAAACTGCTTCTAAAAGTGATTTAAAAAAAATTAAAATATGTTATGATAAGCTTTTATATATGTTTATTTTTCAAATAATAGTTAATGTACGACACGTATCATTGATTTCTAAAAAAATGTAAGATGTTTCAATCAGACAATAAAATCAAGTTTGTTTGTTTTATACATAAAAAATCAGCGGAAAGAATATTTCACTCACTATTTTTGTTTCTAAAGAGTTTGTCTAGAATCGTTAAACGACCTTGAAGACCACACTTCAAACACGAAGAAGACGAATTTCCCGTATCAGTTCCCCTATTGTTAGTTGTTGTCTAGGAAACAGGGTCCTCCTGGTCTTTTTTTCTGACTCCTTCATAAGCCACTTCATAACGAGCCTATTCTGTGTTGTATCATGAGGAGTAGATAAATAAACAAAATCACTGAACAAAAGTCCTTCTCATAAGAAATCTCGATGGAAGAGAGAAAAAACAAACATTCTGAAAACTGATCCGAAGTTTCAAATACACTTGAACAAATATGCTCATATAAATATGAACCAAGTGTGTATCTCCTCTTTGCCTTGAAATAATACAGGTAGAGAGAGGGCCGGCATCGTAAACACCTGGTGCATTAAAAACACGCACACCCAACTTTACCACCTTCCCTCCCCTGGTGTGCTCTGTCTGCTTACAAAGCACTCGGTCCATATAACGATTCGCGCATGAAGAATGAAAGCAGCAATTGGTATATATTGCTAAGTGTCTAAAACGGAAAACTAAAATAACAAAATAATACAACCGATCCGAAGAACAACAAGGATCTTGAACCAGACGTAACTACGACTTTAAAAGAAAGTTATGGAGAAAAATAGTTATTTGTAACTAAGCAAAGGCATGCTTCACTTAAACAACAAAGTATTTTTAGTAACTAAACAACCGTATACTTGGCTTTAACTAAACAACCAGGTATTTTCTGGTAACTAAACAACGACATCCTTTGTTTTGATTTAAAAATCAAGTATTTTCTAGTAACTCAGGGACGAGTTATTGTGTTTACACCACGTATTTGTTGATAACTTGGCAAAGATGTTGATAGTGCAATAATTAAGTTTACTGCTTCAAATCTTCGTTGAAGCACTAGGTTGGTTGTAAAAATTTCGTTTTTGTGTTTTTCAGGTGTTCGTATTAATAGTTATTAATCTTTTACCGTTAGGCTTGCTCATTCATAAAGTCAGCCATTAGCCATGATGTAATTTATAAACTAAACGTTTTAAGTGCTTGATAATCTCAGTCCATAATCATTAATATGTAAAGTGGATCGCAGACATATCACGAGAGCACACTTACTGAATTTCTTTGGATTTTCCGTTAAGATATAATCATGGATCTCCTGCTGATCAACCCGTGCTGCATTCAGACCGTCGGCCTGTTTGAAGCCTCTGCAGATGTCGCCTTCAACAACCTCGTCGAGTGTATGTTTCACTGACGCTTGTCAGAGATGATTATCTCGAAAGAAGAGTACGTTAGCGCAGGTGGGTCAAGCCGTTGTTCGAGTAGTTTTTACTGCGTGTGGCTGTGTTACACCACACTTGGCAACGCCTTACGATTCGCATTTTGCCATTAACCTTCCCAGTCTACTAACTCATAATAAAGAAAATATCCCAGTACGTGCGATTCATCTTTATCTTTATGAAAAGAACGACAAAATTTAGGATTGAAAGGAGCTCACAACGGTCTGTAATCGTGAGTATCTATAGGTTATTAATGTAGAAAATTCGATTTGTTCTAACTGAAACATAGCCAGAACATGGTTACATTTGTTTGTTTGTTATCATGCACATGATATCAGTGCTGTGCCAACCACGGGTATCGAAACCCGATTTTTAACGTTATAAGCCTTCAGACATACCGCTGAGCCACTGGAGGCAGTACATAATTTTCTATTTCATTTCGTCAGAGAAGGAAACAAAGAATAACCACCTCTACTAAATTCGCCCCACCCCCACCCCATGAACAGCATACGACGTGATTAATTACAGCTAGGATTTGTTACGAAAAGCGCTTAATTCAAACATAAATCTTCACATTAATTAAGAACCGTGTCTGTCCTAGTGGTTAGCGCTAAACTGTGAATCCGATGATCCATGGTTTAC